GGAAGGGGATGGAAGTGGGGGTAGAATAATACTAATTCGAATTTACCAGTAAATATTTTACACCTAGTCCACGGCTATTTTGGGACATACGCCTACATGTATTACAATTTCAATCTACATGTAATAGAAATTTAGTTCATGTCGAAAGTTTCGTATTAGTAATAGTCAAACAAGGACAACGCACAGGGAGTTGATTTAGAAAATGCTCTAGACTCGTGCGATCTAGCTATAATAAATGATGGGAGAATGACCCGCATGGCACAGAGGGAAAATGACACAGACAGTTGAATATGTCGTACACTTGTGTTTTAACAGACCAAGATTGTGCGAGACTGGTCTATTGCCCTTCATTCTGGCGTCCATGGTGCACACCAAAGTTGGGAGGTTGTTATCGATGGCAAAGAGCGACGCCATAAAAGCGTGGTCTCCTAGGATAGACTACTAGAAATATAGATCTAATTCAAGCCTACGGACGCTCTCTAGAGGCGATGAACGCAAGAGCACGCTCTGAGAAAGGAAATGACGTCACCTAATGGACATTTTGTACTGCGTGACGACAAAAAGCAGACAAGTGATAAGGAAGCCCACGATTTCTTTCTTCTATTTTCAAGATGCATTAGATATAGAATCTATAAGTAGATTACGTTACCTAAGTATCGATGGAGAATGAACAAAATGGGGTATGTTGCTGAGCATTATTACCTGCGACAGTTTTAAATAGAAAAGTGTCCACCATCTAAATCTAGAAGATCTAAACCCGGCCATTTCTTTGATGAGATCGCCGACAATACCCAATTCAGATGCAATCCCCAAACATAGCTAATCGTTCCTCCATTACTGCCCCCCCCAACTCACCCCCCCCGAACCAAATTGATTGTATGAACGGCACGTGCAGATGCACTGTTCTGTATAAATCTATGCTATGCTGCCTTGGAATCAAAGTTGCATTTTTAAAATGTAGGGTGTGGTTTGAAAAGTTTGGGTTTGGTGAAAATTGGGTTAAAAATTAAGATTTGATATTATTATATATAGATCTAGATTAGATCTAGATGGATAGATAGATCTAGAAATAGAATCTAGATATATTTTTATGAAGCTTTTATAGATGATATTACTACACGATAATCGGGATTTAAAGGAGGTAAAGCGAATTGAAC